TCTGAATCACTTTTTTCGAAGTGGGGGATGACGATAATATATATTTCATATTTTTAAAAATCAAATAGTCTGGGCCAGATTAGTAGAGCTGCAAGAAAACATATGGCAGACAATATATTAGGAGGCTGATCATGGATTTTTCCAGAACTTAGCACAGGAAGTTATTAGCCATTATGAACAGCTGGTTTTTCAGTTAAAGTCAATTGTACTTTTGAAACTTTCTGTATCCATGTATGTGAGAGTGTATGTAACTTGGGAGTCCCCTGTGCCCATGAAATTTTAGGTCTGAGCAGTACATTGACCACCTCTTTAGAAAAATACTGATCCTCTCAAAAATGTGTCCGCCTTAATCTGAGTGAAGGTAACATGCAAACATTTTGCATCGGTCAAATCTTTCACCAAGGAAGCAATGTTGTCATTTGATTTTTCCAAAAGACATCTTGTCATTCCTTGCTGCTGCTTCAAAATTCAAATTTTCTATGATGATTCATTCATGTGGACATCCTGGGAGAATGCCTGAAACTGCTTTGCTCCTTTTGTTGTAGTGTCTTGCTTCCTGCTGCCGTAACAGTCTATGACTGTCACTTAAAAATATGCCATAATGTCTTCTATGAATGCAAAACTGTGATCTAATGTATTTCTCTTATCAGAATTTAAGCCAAGGATCTCCCTGCCTGTTTCAGGTAGTGTTATCAATTAATTCATCACCATAGTCTTACTCCACCAACAAAGATCTGTGAACAAGGTGGTCCACATTGACAGCAGGGAAGCTCGAGGCTGATAAAGCAGTGTGGCTGCATGTTAAAGATATGGTCTGGGAATGGTGCTGAGGTTCAGTGGTTTATTATTCTTCTCTCAACCTTGCCTCTCTTGTGCTTTAAACTAGCATTGAGAGAGAGTTCAAAGGAAGAGACAGCCTTGTAGGTGGTATTACACCAGACTCTGTGGTTTGTGCAGCTATGGTAGACCAATGGGTGGTGATCAATGTGACAGACACCAAGGGACTTTGGAATAGGCTACTTGTACCATTCTCTTCTTTGATGCCCTTTTTCATGGTGACCAGAGGAGAGTTCGTCCTGCAGGACAATTTTTGACTGATATATATATGAGAGTCATCCATTCCTGCCCAGGGTGGGTGAGATTTTAGAAGCTTGGACTCAATGCTGGTAATCTCTGCCTGAACCAGGACTGCAACGTTGGCGATGAAGTCATCTTAGCCTCAGAGGATGTATGTTGAGGATAGTGTGGATACAGTGCTAATGGAAGCACACTCATGAGCCAGAAAGTGGTGTGGTGAGAGCAAAGGCTCTTCTATCCCTCCACTACTGCGTCTTAAAGTCTGCAAAGTTTTTTAGTCATGAAGACCGAATACACATGGAGTGCAGTGCATAATATTAATACATGATAGAGTCTATAATAGATTCTAGACCTAGATCTAATTTGTTTGAAATTCTTCACCTCCCCAGAGTAAAATTGTAAACTTTCAATTGTCAAGGTTTGTCCTCTCTTAAATTTTTACAGCATAAAAAAGATGAAAATTAACAGCAACTTGCAAATAAATCCTGTTCACTAAAAACTTATGAACCAGAGTAGATAATGGTCACTCTAACCAAATGAATTTGAATTACGGCGTTATTAGATCTAGATCTAGATCTAGATACTAGATAGATCTATCTACATCTAGTCATCTCAGTTCCAGGAGACTAGTCTAGATCTCTAGATCTTGAATCTAGATTCTAGCTAGATCTAGTCTAGGTTGTCTGCACTAGACAATGTGTGTGTGCTAAAAAAAAGGACACCAAATCGAGACAATTTTGACACACAATCCAAAACTTACCAGAGAAAAGGACGCTTGACCGACCTAGAGTTTGCAAAAGCAGCAACAGTAATAGCAAACTTCATTCAAACACTTGAAACGTTGAACTCTTAGTTTCATCTCATCATCATAAAATAGTCGCCATGTTCGGTGTTTATTATATTATCTCCCCTGTCGATAGGATTCGGAGCTGTTTTCATTCGTTACAGTTTCTTTTCAAAGCACAAGTAATCTATTAATAATACAAATAAAAAGGGGCAAGATCCAGACTATTTTTTGAGTAGTCATTTAACAAACTTACAATATACTCTTTTAGATCTATACTTAAACGTTAAGGTTATTCTTTCATAAGACCAAATTCATTTCTAACGAGAACATAAAAGATTCGAAACTGATTATAGACGAAGGTGATGTAACTGGGGTTTCGGGGTTTCCAAATTTCGTGTCTATAAATATCTACTGCCAAGTTGGCTGAAAAAAATTCTGAAAATTGTTTTAAACAAAATTATTGTAAGAGCTATTTAATGATACTGTAAACTCGTTCTGTAAGACAAAAATGTATGACTGCCTTATAAAATGACTTTGTATAGATAGACTGAGAGTCTTTTTTTTCGTTTGATTGCTTGATTTTCTTTTTCTTTATCCTCATCATTTATCTGGCTACAGAACAAAGATCTAAAATAGGTGTGTTGATCAAATCCTATTGAGTGTGTTCTGTGTCAAGTCAAACTCCGGGTGGCAGACAGAGGTTTGTAGCTAGCTTTTGTAGAGATCTAGAGGTAGGTCGAGGACGATGGCCGGACTGAGGGGTATTATAAGACCAGGCGTTCGGGTTCTGCGACTGAATGAAATTACAGCTACCGATACAAGGTGAGATTTTGTGAAGAAAGCGTTTGTTGTCTTTACTTTCAATCGGATCGAGTCTGAGTCTGGACTCGGATCTTTTTTGCTGATGATGACATTCACCCTGGTCTTATTTAATCGAACTTCAAAACTCGGTCACACGTAATTCTTTCTTCACGGTTTCAAAGTCTTGTAAATACAAACACAAAAATAAAAGGACAGTATTTATAGTCATCATGGCACATCGGCCAATGTATTACAAGACTAGCCTAGATCTAGATTTAGATCTAGATCTAGTCTAGATCTAGATCTAGATTTCTAGATCTAGAATCTAGATTTCTAGATCTAAATCTAATCTAGAGATCTAGATTTTAGATCTAGATTTAGATCTAGATCTAGAATCTACTTACTTTTTTAATTGTATTAAATAATTAATTAGTAGGCTAATTAGTGAATAAAAGGCCTGCTATAGCCTACCCGCAAAGATAAATTGTAATTATTGTGTTAGTTATTTAGTACCAGATGCTCATTGGCACCATCAGCTTGGGTCAGGTCGGTTTGCTAGCCAGATTGAGGGCGCAAATCGGCTATCATGGCACAAACCGATAGCCCAACTTGTCGCCTCAAAAACAATTAAAGCCTTGATTCCGAATAAATCAGGTTTTAGCTGTAATAAATTTACAATCAAATCTAGTATACGGCCCACCTTGGGACAAGCATAAAGTTGGTGGAACAGTGGGGCTAGCAGTACACTAAGATCTTCATGTTTTGTTAATAATACTAACACCGACTGCGCTACTTCAAGGGAACCTGTCAACCAATTACTAGATGAATTAATGAGATGTCTCGCTTTGATCATTTACTTTAACTTAATTGTGAGTCCTCACTTTATTTAAATTAAAGCCTTGGGAGCATTCGCCAGCCTGTAAAAGTTATTGGGCTGATCTCTGGCGTTTTCCCTGGAAGCCGACATGTCGAGGCTCCTCTAAGGTTTGATTTGGGTCTTTACTAAAGTCTAAAAATGATAGCATTTTCATAAAATCACAACTTTAACCCTATACTATCCGTACGTCATGTTTTACTAGCATATTCATACGACATGGGGAACTCTGTGCCTCCACTTTCCAAAGGGGAAAATTACTGGTTAATCCGATTGATACGCTTTGCATAGGAGCAGACTGTCCAAAATGATTTTTTGAGAAATACTGAAAGTAGTGAAAGTTTCAAAGAGGTCTTCAAACTAGAAGTATTCTAAAATGTGAAGAATACAACCCCGGGAGAACAAAACGACCCTGGGGCATACGGATGGAGTTAGATTAGTGGGATTCACGAGGGGAACAAGACAAAATTGGTACTGAATTACAGTTATGTTTTATTTTAAAGTACTCTTCAACGTTACACATTGTATTATGCTCGCTTGCGACACACTACATCACTGATGGATGTAGCTGTATTACTAAGTTACTAAAATCTACAAAACGGGAGTGGGGAGGTGGAATGGGTTGGGTGGGAGCAAATCCGCGAACAGCGTCTCCTCACTGAACACATATTTATATCTGTTCAGCTTAAGTACTGTGAAATATGACATTTTTTAAAATCTTAAAACTTTTCATTATAATTGATGAAGATATAAATGACATTGACATGAAGCATCCACTGCCCTGGGATGTGTGTGTATTCCTCAGTTATTGTTAATCTCGTTATGCCGACTGTGCAGCAGTAACTCATGAGATGTTGTTTTGTTGTTTTTTTCTGTTCTGTCCCAGGTGTCTCTCCTGTCTGTCTGTGGTACCAGTCCAAAGTCCTCTCCTGAAGAGTTTGCCTGTCCCATCCCTGACCACACACCCAAGTCATCATGTGCAGATGGTCAGACACTTGTTCAAGCTGCCCAGTATAAATCCTCTAAAGAAAGCGTCAAAACGGAAAGAGTATTCTGAACGCCGGATACTTGGGTGAGATTTTATTTTGCTTTTGCTTTTCAATTAATTTTTTGTTTCACTGGGTTTTTTTGTGTTCTTCTATGGATCTGAAATTTCCATATTTAGTACAATTTTGAATTACCCTGTCTGTGGTGTAACGGTCAGGTTTTCTACTGTTGCAAGTAGTTTGAAAGCTGAGTGGGGAAAATTTTTTTAATGAAGTATCCTCTGTCTGTCTGCTGAGATATGTCCCTCTCAGCAAAGGCTGGTACTAACAGGCAGGTACAGGAGCTGGTCCTTAACTGTTGGTATCGTATTTTGATAGTTTTTGTAAAGGTGAGTCAAGTCTCAATACTCAATTTTTTACAGGCTTATGTGTTTGTTTTTTAACTGAAGGAATTCACAATTTGCATAGAAATTGATATTTTATTAGAATTCATGTTTTTCAATGCTGTCTCTCTCTCTCTCTCTCTCTCTCTCTCTCTCTCTCTCTCTCTCTCTCTCTACCTCTCCCTTTGCTGGAATATAAAATGCCTTGATTTGTCTGAGATTATTACAAAATCTTACATGCTGAGGTTTAATGTTGTACTTTAAAATCCTTGTTGAGAAGTGGAAACCTAATCAAAGACTAAAAAATACAAAATCTGTACTGGACACTGTTCTCAATCTCCAAGAAAAGCATCACCTCCCTGAAAGACGAGAACCTCTGGAAAGAGTTCCCTCAACTCTCCCACCACATCTCACCATAGCAAAGCCAGAAATTAGGAAAACACTTTTGGACAAGAGCAATAAAAACACATATCCTGTAGCACTAAAACATTCTGCCCTTGAAACAATTGATTCCTATCCACCAACATGGATCCACTGATGGATCTGCCTTTAAGGCAACAATCAACGCTGGATGTAGGTCAGTGATCAACTTGCCCAGTGGGATAAAAAAAAAAAAGAAGTCTTTAATTCCAGTGGGTCCTTCTGCTCCAATTTCATTGCCGAACAACAGGCTATCACCAACACAGCAAACTACGTCAACTACTTGTTTGACACTAACCCACTTGCTACCACAGACATCGTTATCTTTACAGACAGCCTTTCAACACTAGAGACACTTGAGAGTGGGACTGATGTGAACAAAGATATTTGCATTTGATTTGGAGTCTACATAATTTGATAAGTAGGCACCTCGTCAGAGTAGTCCCCTACAATGGGTTCCTGCCCACACTGGGATACCGGGAAATGATTAAAGAGCTGATGCTCTGGCAAAGAAAAGAGCTAGCCTCCCTCAGCCTGAAATTCCTACGAATTACACCACCTGCTACCAAATGATCAAGTCAAACCTCAAGGAAGAGTGGATGAATGATTGGGCCACAGGTACGACAGGAAGGAGGATGTATGGCCACATGAATAAACCACTGGCCAAAGATCCAATCAATGAGTTGAGGAGGGGAGATCAATCCATAATCTTCCAACTTAAAACACAACATGTACCCCTCAACCAACATCTCAACCGAATTGGAGTAAAGCAGTCTGCTGCCTGCCCACTATATGACTACCCCTCAGAGACAGTGGAACATCATCTGTTCTTCTGTAGAAAACTAACTGATTTCAGGGGATGTTTTCTTCCCAAGCTACCCCACACATCTAATTGCCTCTACTCCTCAAGACAAGAATTAAAACAAACATGCAACTATTACCGAATGGCATCATGCAGAAAAGTTAACGCTCAGATGCTACTGGATCGCTAACAACAACATAATGTACTTTCAAGTTTGGTCTAGAAAGTTTGAATGTAAGACAATGTAAGATGTTTTCAAATTGTTAATGCTCTTTGCTTTTGTCTATCTTTTCTTTGGTACAGGTACTCTATGGATCAGATGTACGACATTGTCTCTGACATTGGCAGCTACAAACATTTCATCCCTTGGTGCACCAGCTCCACTGTTTTTGATGTCCGTGCAAATGGGTGCAAAGCAAAGATGGAAATTGGGTTTCCTCCAGTGCAGGAAAGATATATGTCTACCATTAAACTCGTTAGGCCAAACCTTGTTCATGTGAGTTGTGCATACAAATGTCATAAAGTTAAGTAGATAAATTCAGACGTGCCACTCATCCCGATTTAATAGGGATAACTAGATTTTTTGCCTTAAATATCTAGTGTCCCGATTTTTCTGATTTGGGTCACATGTATCCTGATTTTTTTGTGCCATCTCTTGCACTGGATTTTTCTATAAACTAACTCTGCCTTCTTCTCTGTCGCAGGAAGCACCTGTGAAACCTTTTGTCTGCAGGAATTCGAAGCACTGTTTTTTTTTTAATTCGATGCCGGTTTTGGTAGTTGACTCGTCCCTTATTGTGTTGGATCTTTGCACACTCGTGTTATTTCAACTATAATGGAAGTAGTACTGTATCAATTTGGCATTCAAACTTGGGACATTCTCAAGTTCTACTTTCGCTTTTGTTATCACTCAGAATTCTCCGCTGGTGGCTGGTTGAAGACTTATGGGGGGAGGGGGGGGTAGACTTGGACTAGGAGTCCTTGATGTGATACTTCAGGATCTTAAAACTATAATGATCACCCACACACACACCCACAGAGTGTACACATGGAATATTTATGGACAGCCCAGGGAAATTTTTAAGTAAGCTTGGCAGTCATCTTGGTGCTTTGTCCTTGATCCTGGTTTTTTTCTCCAAATCCCGATTTTCCCTTCTGAGATCCTGATTTCTGGATTTCATAGAGTGGCGGGTCTGTAAATTGCTCTTCCTTTGCTGATTTGTGCTCCTAGGGAAATATTACTCTGGTTTTGGGTTTCAGAATTCCTTCCTCTTTTTTTTTTCTTTTTTAAAATATATATATATATTTTTTTTTTAGAAGATTTCTTTAGTCCTCTCCAAATTTTTTGTTTTCATGCCTCACTCTCAACTGACTCTGACTGCTATTATACATCTGCTGTGTCGCAGTCTTAATAAAACAATGTGTGTCTCGTCACTATTGCTATCACCTTATAGCTTATTCATTTGTCTTGCTGTTGGTGAAAAAGTAGGCATCTATCTAGATATATGTTCTTATGCACAGTAGAATTGTAAATGAGTAAATGGGCTGATTTATCTATGTCATGTTCATACTGTGCGGAATGCCAAAACAACATAGGGGAAACTGCTGCTTTTTCTTTCCTCATCCTTACTATCGTCATTTTCCTCTACTACTTCTTTTGTATATTTGTCACTCTCTTTTGAACTACTATTTCCTTGATAGTCGAAGCAGACTTTTTGCTGTTGAGGCTAGAGAGGTGAGCAAAGTAAGCCTGATTCCCCATTTGGACTTCTCTGTTGACATCTACCCCTTGGGGCTCATATAACCTAATGCAGTTGCCAGCACAGTAAAACCTCACTTAAACTAAACTATCAAGAATAGAAGTCAAGATATTTGCAATTGAAAGATGTGGAGGTCTCCCGATTCAGGGTAAAATTAGCGAGAAAATGGCCCCCAAAATGTGGTGACTTCCAGAGCTTGACAGTACTTGAAAACTGCAAATTTACATTTTTTGTGTCATAAATCAACGTTTTTTAAAGTAAAATCTACACATAAATATATTTTAAATGAACCTTTAACTTAAAGGCTATTGCTTTGATTGAATATAACTGCATACCTCGTTTTCTATTTTCAGATGTCTGTGCTATTATAACTGTTTGTATATTTGTATCTTGTTGCTGTTTTGTCCCCAGTCAGAATGCACAGAAGGAAGACTCTTCACTCAACTCCTCACTATATGGAGGTTCAGCCCAGGAGTAGCCGGAAATCCAAAGACTTGTACATTGGACTTCTCTGTAAGTTATGCTTGCTTCAGGAAATAATCATTTGAATTTTAATGCAGGTTTTGATTTGTGAGGCCACTTTTCAATTATGGGAATTAAAGAATTTTTAAACTCTGCCCACTTTTTGTTTACATGTATTGTGCATTTTGCTTCACTTTCTTAACCCTATATGTACACCCTGGGGTCATTTTGTACCCCAGGGGTTGTATTCTTCACATTTTAGAATACTTCTAGTACGAAGATCTTTTTGAAACTTTCAGTATTTCTCAAAAAATCATTTTGACCGACTGCTATGCTAAGCGTACTGATCGGATTAACGAGTAAATTTCCTCTTTGGAATATGGTGGCACAGAGTTCCCCACGTCGTGTAGGAGCAAAAGTAAAACACGATGTACGGATAGGGTTAATATTAGTTTGTGTTAGGGATGTCTATAGACAAGGTACGTCCTTAATTTGCATTTTTTTTTGTGGCGTGGCCTTTAAATTCTAAGTTCACTTTTCTGCCATCTCCATGACAGAAATATAAATGTTTGCACAGATACTGACCGTTGGAATTACTTTCCCAAGATTACATGAGGGGTGGGGTAAAATAAGAATAAAGGCTGGGTGAGTATTATTATCTACAGGAGAGTGTTTAAAAGCTAAGCACTCATTCAGTCCTGCAACTATTCGATTGGTGCTCTCGTGTGATCTCTTCTCTTCTTTTCAATGAGTGAGCTGACTTACTGTGAACTTCTATGCACATCAAATACCATTCCTATTTGAATAGGAGCTGATGATTAATGGTTTATGTTCGAACCCTCCCTTTTTCTCAGATGTGATTCTTTGCTGTGAAAAAGTTTTTCCTTAAACTTTACCGTACATAGCTTGATAATAATCTGTGTAATTGGAATATTGTCTTTTTATGTAAGGTATGAGAAAGTTTATTTTCCAGTTACACAAAATTCTTCTGGGTTTTCACTTCAAAATATTGTTAAACACTTGATTTTTTGCTTGTATTTATGTTATCCATTGCAACAATGAAGCTCGTTATACAGGTCTTTTTTCTTTCTTTTTTCAGGTTGTGTTTGAATTTCGATCCCAACTGCATTCACAATTAGCAACTGTGTTCTTTGATGAGGTTGTAAAGACCATGGTGAATGCTTTTCTGAAAAGAGCCCGGCAGCTTCATGGACCAGAGTCTATAAAAACTCAAAAGCCTAAAGTTATAGCATACAGTTCTTGACCTAAGAAACATTTAGTTCAGTTGTACATATATATGGCATATTGTGCCACTTGAATCGTGTGAAATATAATATATTTGAAGCTGTTTTATCTCTTGAGATTAGCAATTTTAAAATGTTTTTTGTTCATTATCATAAAGTCGAATGATGAGAGGAGATTTACTCCCAGGGGTTTACATTTTTAAAGCAAGACACCACACTTTCATGTGAGTCTTTCGGGTAATTTTAAGCCCTTTTTTCTTAAGTAAAAGGAAACAAGATTGTTGATCATTTCTGTCAGTTCCAATAAGTGTCCATGACCAACTATTTTCTGAGGTAACCAAAATGTGATGTAGTATTTCAGCACATCTCTGTGGCAGGTGGTAACCTTTATGTTGTCATTCTTGTTTCAATCTCTCTCTCTCTCTCTCTCTCTCTCTCTTTTCTGGCGCTGTGGCATCATAAACTGTCAGCAATGCCAACAGCGTGCAGGAACTCAACACTTTCCCGGGGGTCCTTAAAAAGTGCTGAAAGTGGGTTACTGAAGTGTCCCCTCAGACTTCCTGTTTCAATGAGGACTTCCATCAAAGGCATATTCTTTGGTTATGCAATGTTCTTTCAATTTGGTCAGAATACACTTAGAATGCCCATCCTTTGATTGCAGTAAAACTTCATCAACCACACTTTAATTTTCAGTACAACACCATGTAAAAAGGTACTTTTCTTCTCATGATATTTAGCAATTACATTTTTTTAGAAATTCTATATTCTTTTGTTCTCATATTAAGAGCTCCCTTGAACGAGAAGACTGATAAAAGTTTTCAGATATGTCATTTAGAACTGACCTCAAAATAGAGAACAGCTTTATGACCAGCACGCACTGTTGCAAAGAAAGACGTCGCTTTGAGCATGAGCGTGGTATTTTCCTCTCTACAGTTTGTTTTACTCCGTGTGTCTGAAGTGTCATGTGAATTGATATGTGATACCAGTTGTAACTGTAACAGTTTGAGAGTGAGAGCACTGATCGAAATACTATTCTCTGATATTTTTCGCTGTGATTTCTTTTAATTCATAGGTAGTATTTTGATTGATACCGGTGTTGAGAATCTCTGCCTGATACCAGATCTGGGAGCACAATATCACAAACAGATTTATGCACTGTCTCTGATCATAATTTTGTGATGAAACTACATTTTGTGAAAATTGATGAAACACTTGACAAATATCAATAGTCATTTTTCAGAGGCTATTCATGAGCAACTTTGGATTAACACAATCAACTACATTCTAGAAAAAAGAGCAAAATTCTGCAACGTCAAGGTGGATGTATTACTTGGACCATGGCCGTGATTACATTGTTTCAATTGGAGAGTACTGTCTGTTATTTATATTCTTTTGTGGCTCGTTTTTTCTTTTTTTTTTTAAAGAAGTCACTTGGATTGATGATGAATACTGGAAGATAGATGTTTTACCAATTCAAAAGAGCAAGTAAACCAAATTTCTCTTCTTAATGGAGTTTGCTGTTGTTATATGGAAATAAACATATGGAGAAAATCATGCTCTGGTATGAAAAGTCACAAACCAACTTTTTAAATAGGATGATTGGAATATCATACAGGGTGAAATGACACTATGTGTCTTTATTTTCTTCATTTTGTAAATAATTATGAGTTCCTTTTTGATGCTGCAGTTGTTTTAGCTTCCAAATGGCACGAGCAACAGCTTTTATTTCTAGTCCCCTACAATGTTTCTCGTGCCTACTGATACAGAAGACAATAGTACACAGCTATTCGATTATTAATATATGCATTGTAAGCAATTTTGCAGATCTTTGATACTTCTATCCGTGGTGTCTGTGGCCTAATGGTTAGGCTACCGGACTCAAAATTGTGAGATTGTGGGTTTGAGAGTTCGAGCCTTAGCTAAGTCTGACATTGCATCCTTGGGGAATGGGCGGATTTTCTCCTTTAGCTCAGTCCTATCGCCTGTGAATAACTTCACAGTGTTACGAGGGGTGTTGAACCTATACAATTGCACATTATTTTTTCAATGTGTCTATGATGGAAATGGGCGTCATAATAATAATTTTGCACTCCGCTATAAATGTTCAATAAAGGTTAATTGTGTTACCCCTATTGTTAGAACACAACTCAGAAGCCATTGTTCTTTGTTTGTGTGCTTTGAGGAGTCTGTCCCAATTTCAACTAGCAAAATATACACTGAGGAAAACCACATATGAATGTGAAGTTTAATTGCTTTACTTTTTATGATCCTACTAGTACTAGTCTATATTATTTATAAAACTAAGGAGGGGATGTTTTGTCCATAGTACAGCAATTTACAGACTATATTTATTGTCCTTCACACCTTTTCTTTGGAGTGGAGCATATTGTTGATCTAGCATTATATTTCTAACTTTCTAAATTTTTCACTTGGTGTGTCAATATTGCTTCAGATCAACTACATGTATGCTTTCGAAACACGGTGGATTGAGGAACTTATGTACAGTCTGTATTTGTATATATGTTTGAATATCATTTTATTTATTCATAAGCAGATTCTGTACATTTGTTCTTGGAAGGGAATTTCCTTATTGTGTCTAAACTACTTCTCCTTAATTACAAAGAATATTTTGATGCATTAAAGTAATTAAAGAGTGTACAAAAACTTTTAGCTTAAGGTATCCTCTGATGTGTGAGAATTTTTTGTTGGTTTTTTTTTCCTCCAGATTTTGTTATTACCGTACTTTAGACATTACATGTATTACCGGAGTAAAAAGAGTACAGCAACATGAATGATTTGATTAAATCATCCAATGACCATATTTCTATTTGAGTTGTTCATTGTGTTTATTTACTTATTGATTACACCAATTACTTTTTTTGTAACTTTTGTTAATATCAAGAGGTCATAAAACATTGTAATTATGACTACACTGATGTAATAGATGGAAAATGTATATATATGTAGTGTCTTTAGGCCATTCCCAAAGGGGGGACATTTCTCGTTCAAGCATAGTAGAATTGTAAATGGGCTGGCTCATGTCACGCTCATAACTGTGCCTGATCTACAACATGGAACTGCTGCTTTTTCTTTCCTGATCCTTACTATTGTCATTTTCCTCTACTTCTTTTGTATGTTTGTCACTCTCTTGTGACCTGCTATTTCCTGGGTGCCTTGATAGTCGAAGCAGACCTTGTGCTGTTGAAGCTAGAGAGGTGAGCAGTCTAAATCTGATTCCCAGTAAAGACTTCTCTGTTGACACCCTCCCCTTGGCGCTCATATGACCTTATCCAGTTGCGAGCGCCGTAAAACCCTCTACTATTTTTTTTTTAAAGTTCGCTTTGCTTGAAAACAAAAACGACGTGCAGGTTTGAATCCCTGCATTGACATCCATCAGTTTACCTTCTATGCGTCTCTCTCTCTCTCTCTCTCTCTCTCTCTCTCTCTCTCTCTCTCTCTCTCTCTCTCTCTCTCTCTCTCTCAGTGGGTGGTTGGCAGGTGGTCTGGTGGAGTTTGCTTCTTCTTTCCTATCAGACATCTATCGTCTTTATCTCCCCTCCTTTTTTGTATTTGTTATTCTCTTGTAACCCGCTAATCTTCGGCACTTATATGACCTTACTGTGTTGCAAGGGACGTAAAAGTCTAAAACTTTTTTAAAAAACTCTCTCCCTTTATCCATTTCTTTCTCTTTCTCCCTTTTTCTTTCTCTCTCTCTCTCTCTCTCTCTCTCTCTCTCTCTCTCTCTCTCTCTCTCT